TAAATTAAAATAATTATTTTAAACCAAATCCTGTATGTTAATTTTTTTTGGTTAGACATTTGTTTAGATCAGAAAAAGGATTTACATTATGTGAAAGTCAGCATAAAAATAATTATATCAGTAAGACATAGGTACAACAGGTACAAACACATAAAAAAGAGAAAAAAAGACAATTTAAATCCACAAAACCAAAGTCAAGTAGGATACCTTCTCTATTAAAAGTAGATAACAAATCCAGTTAGTTAAACTTGGAAATTCTACATTTGAACTGAAAATAATGCAGGTTTTGTGTTGAATAAGTTGGGAGATGCAGTCAAGGATTAAACCTGAGACTTTTAATCCTATTAAGAAATAAAACCGTTTCTAAAACACTGCAATAATTAGTGTCAAAACAAAAACGTTGGACAAGTTTCTGTGATGTACAAAGATTTAAAAAAAAATAACACATTTCCTACATGATAATTAAACCTAGAAAAACACAGTTTCTCATATAGATAACCTGTATCCCAAAATAATTTCAGAACAAGGAAATGAAAAGATCTGAAGCACACATTCACAACCTGTGCGTTTGAAAAAAGATACCACTGTCCTTCGAAACTCAGCATCCCTGTAAACATAGAAGTGGCAGCATTTTGCTGTGATAGTTGATGAAAAGATTAATGGGGCTAAATAGAGAAGCCTTGGAAAAAAAAAATGTTGCAAAAGACTTGGAACTGGATGCATTTTACAGATGCACTCCTCCATCAAATTGCCAGTGTGTGTGGAGCAAACTTTCAAAGAAAAATGCACAAAGTATTATGTAATACCATAGATGTGATCAAGTGGTAAAGTCTAAAGTATGGCAAGAGATTTTCAACTATATCTGAAGCAAAAGGTGGTTGTAGGAATTATTAATTCAGAGGGAGATACAGATGCACACCACACTTTTCAGATTTTTTTGCGGCACAAAAAAAAATGGGTATACTTTTTCTATCAACTTATAGTTCTGAATTACTTTATGTTGACTTTTTCCTTTAAATTCCACTTTGATACTTTGCGTTTTAGTCAGGGGGCGGAGCTAAATGGGGGGCCAGGGGTGGCCATGGCCACCCTTAGCCAATCATTATCCACATGACAACCCCTGCAATTCTTTCCCCTCTAATACAGATGGTGGCAGCAGTAATACTCTCAAGCGGACTATCAAAGATATTTTAATTTTTCATATATTAACAATAACTTGATTAAAAAAAACACTGTGGTTAATTATGCAAATCAATATACTAATATTAAAGGTGATAAGTACAGAATTCATGCTCTTTTCAGAACTTGATTTTCTGTTATATGGGGTAAAAAGAAAATGATGCATCTCTGCAAGTAATCTAGGAGTCTTTTGTGAAATAATTGATAAATAACTATTTTAATAAAAATGTATTAAATAATCAATTTATGTAGATTTCAGTACATTTAAAAATAAATTTTATGCATTTTATTGATAAAAGTAGGAAAGTAATGACAATGGCAAAGATGTTCGCGGCAAAAGTCAAACCTGAAAGAATTTTATCCACTGTACTTTTTGTCTAGAAAGCAGGGATGTTTAAATATATGCATCTATTTGTTAGCAAAGGCTGTAGGAAAGTATAGTTTATCTTTATTTAGAAAATATGGATGTTGTGCTTGTTTATTTTCCTGTTGGAACAGTGTAGGTTGACCCTGAGGTCATGGCGCCTATTCGCTTTCGGCCACCCCTCATTGTACATTGGTTATTGCCTGATCAACCTTATAAAATGTTCTGGCTACGCCTCTGGTTTTATTTGGATTAAATGTGAATAAGCTAAACAATTATCAATACTTTCTGAGGCTCTATGTACTATTTAGAATATATTTTTGATGTTTCAGATCTAGATGCCACATGCTTCTCATCATCTGCTAGAAGTTTCTGTAGCTTTTCTTTCAGCTTTTACTGTTTCCTTTTTGGAAGTGTTGGGATTCATGGGTCATCCCTTCTTGATAATTAAATCCCTGCCTTTCTGAGAATGCCAACACTTCATTTCTATTGTTCTCTGCCATGTGTGCTAATCACAGCCCTTTCCTTTAACAATAACAGGAAGGAGAATTAATTTTAGATCTTTTTCATCCTGCAGCAACCCAGCAAGCCCAGTGGAAATGAAAATATGCCTTTCATTTCCTCCCAGTGAACATTTATCAAACTCCAAAACTGAAACTTATGCTCAACACAAGAGGAGATAACCTTTTCATTAGCAATTATAGAGTTTTCTCCAAATTGGCTGCACATAGGCAAAAGGAAGTCTGTAATAGAGCGTCTTTCTGATGGCTCCTATGGAGAACTATCATTACCACTGCTCCTGGTGTTACACAGCTGCCAGCAGCTGACTGGTCTAATTCATACCACAGCATGCGTAACCCTCCCCCTCCTCCCACTCTTGCAGCAAACACGCTGAGGTCACAAGTGAATCACTGCCCTAACAAATGACTAAGATCAGATATGGCTTAATGTAGATATTGGAAGCTATCATTTTTGACTTTGCAGTTAAAATAGCTGCTTGCCAGGACAGTAAAACACATCCTTATAAGTCTGTCAAATGTAAAAGAAGCAGGAGAAGCTCACTCTTTTGCCTTGTGCAGTCTTTGGCTCATTTCATTAACTCAGCACGCATTAGAGCCTACTTTTGCAACCCGCAGACAGTGCACCACTAAAGCTTTATAGTCTACAAACCGTAAACTGAAGTGGAAAGCAAATTGCAGCTGTAACAAAAGAATAAAGACTGTTTTAAAGCAGAATCAGTTTGTGCCTCATCATATCTCTCAATAAAAAAGGAGACATATCCATCAGTCTAACTTGCCTGTGCAAATTCTCAGTCAGGTTATAGCAACTTCTAAAGAGGCAGCATGCTTTTTGCTCCGTTTTTCTGAAAATGATTTAACATCTATACAGACGTATTTGTTCATTCTGTCAGCGGAGGTCGCTCTGGTCACTTCGTATCAAACTTTTTGACCAACATGCAAAATGCTTTCTTTCAAGTACAAATGACTTTTGCACATCTCTTCATACACATCATCCCCATTATAATGCACGTAGGTGGCACCATCATGCTGTTTATGGTATATCAATCATGCACCATGGAAATATAGGCCGAAATCAATATTCTCACACTAATATTACCCTTTTAACACAGAAAATAAAGCCCACAAGTTTGACATTTAGCATCTGGCCTGCATTGTTTTAACAAACATCGGACAACCAATCACCATCTGCTCTGAAACCAGTAGCTAGATAGAAATAAAGATTTGTATTGATGTTAGAGGTGTCAAGTAAAGAAGTACAAATACTTCATTACTGTACTCAAGTACACGTTTTAGATATCTATACTTTACTCCATCAATTATTTTTCTTCCTACTTCTGACTTCTACTCATTACATTTTCAAACAAGTATCTGTACTTTCTATTACTTAAATTTTTAAAACAAACGTTACTCGTTACTCTTGACTTCAGCTTTATGTTTATAAATATTTATTTCACGTCATGTGCGCCATCTAATGCAGATCATTGGCTCCATCCACATCTAGTTAAAACTAGTGACATTGGATGAGTCATATAACGCAAACACTCATTGGTTAGCTGAAGGAAATCATCAGAAGCAAGCAGGTGTTCTTCAAACTGTAAACGTGAATTGTCTATGTTATGCTACAATGTTGTATTTAGAAAAAGATGTTGAAACGTCTGAAAGGTCGGACACAGGGGAGAGCATATCGGGAGACGGAGACCAACAAGACCTCCCTCATCTTTGGCCATATCTCAAAGAATTCAAAACAGTCAAAAAAACGAGCTTTAAGTTCATATCGTGGCATCTGGCTGTTTTTTTTTTTAAAGGTTAAGTAGTTTTTGGAGCACATGCTTTTTCACTTTTACTTGAGTAAAGAGGTCAAATTGATACTTCAACTTTTAGTGTTTTTAAACTGCAGTATCTATACTTCTAGTTAAAGCTGAAGTCTGTAAGTTTTTAAAAATCACTTTT